GCTGAAGGAAACTCACTGCAGGGCTCAACTTGAAGCTGTAGCTTATCAGGATGCTCTTCAGCAACTGGAGCCTCAGTATTTTTAACTGAAAAATTAGTTGTTTCCAAACGTGATTCTGGTACACTTGGTTTATGTTCTGAAATTAATGATGGCTGACATTGATTTACTCTATCAATAAGTTCACTAGCCCTATTCATATTCTTTTGTTTGCTACTAGCTGTGGACATGCAGTTCTTGGCTACAGGCAAAGGTGTTGAAGTCAGTGGTTTAAAGCAGCAATGTTCTTTCATAATATCAGCATTAGTCCAACCACTCTTTTTTTCTCTCTCTATTTCAGTTGCTGGTGTTTTGGGTGTGGAGTCCATATGTTTTCTTCTTTGTGTTACATGGTGAGAATGACTCTCTATATCAACTTTCTGGCCACCTGTGAAAAATCACAAAACATTAATTAATTGTATATGCCTTCCCCCCGCTGATTTACAGGCCGTTTAGCCCATCAAAATTACCACTGTTTTATTAGGTTTACAGTTATTTTATAATACTCATTAAGATCCAATACAAACAAAAGCCCACATGTTACAACTATCTTTGCACATGAATTGTCTTAATTAAATCAATAGATTAACTGGCATATGCAAAGTTAGAGTAAAGTATGACTGGATTTTGAATTTGTAATTTTTTATTATTATGCTCTTATGTTATTTACATCTTTCTTGCCTGAAATGAAGCCATAAGCTTTCCTAAAATTTAGGAATGGATAGATATTTACTTGTAAAGCTGGTACTGGAAGAGATTATATGAAGGGTGTCTCACAGCAATGTCTACAAAACAGATGTAGCTTGAACCAAGGCACTCATCTTGCAATAATGCTACTCTTTATGTGTTTCAAATATACTTTAAATTATCTTCATAGTTTTCAATTCATAAATTTCAAAGAAATTTAAGTGAAAACATTTTTGACTGTACTATAAACTTATCAAACATTATCAATTGTTTTAAGACAATCAGATGGAATGACAATTAATTTCAGTCTGTTGACCACAACTCATACACATTTGTGAATAATTATCATTTTGCACCGTAGCACTTCTGTAATTTTAAAAACCATTTGTTTCTTCCAAAAAAGATGCAACTTCACATTTAGAATTGTTAATGAAGTTTTTTCCACAGGAAACGAACATACTTTGTTTCATTGTTGCCATGATGTTACTCGGCTGATTTGATGCTGTAAGATTAACTGAGCTGATTGTTGTAGTAAAATTAATTTCTGAAACCAAATTTTGCTCCTCACTTTTAGCAGGAACATCTGGTGACAGATGAATAGTTGCCTCCTGTTGAGAGGCTTGTGATAGGTCTTTTGAATTTGAAGGTACGTGGAGAAATTCACCGCTGCACTCTGATGAACAATCAATGCTTTTCTGGTTTCTTATAGCAAATGCATGCAAGGATTCAAGTGCACTATGAAAATTTTCATGGTGCTGGATTTGTTGACGAATCCATTTAGATAATCCTAAGAAAAAGAAGAAGAAAAAAAAGAGTTACTACAAAACTACATCATCTATACCAGGTATTTCATATCAGTAAATAGTACCCTAATATTGCAAATTCTTCTACATATGTATAGACAGACTCAAAGATTTCAAGAAGTTGCTCATGAAAGTAAGATAATGCATGTCTTCCTTTCCAGTTTTTTTTTTCCTGGAAACTTGATTTAATCAATGGTAGTATTTTGATGAGCAATACTAAAAATATTCTTTTTTATTAAAAGTCCTTTACCTTTTTTACTAATACTTTTTTTAAGGTCAAACTGCTGTGTTGCAAAAACATCATTATACTTCTTTTATGACTGGGTGTTCATTTTGCATGTTATCATGAATTATTAAAAAGTAACTTACATAGAGTACAGCTATTCATTACCATACTGACAGGGTCTGACAAAAATTAGAATATAGTGAAGCTTTTACAACTTTATTTCAGATTAAGTAACACTAACTCAGATATTCCTCAGAAGGAATCACAACTGCCCAATGGCTAAAATATAATACAATATGCTCTTATACAGCAAACATTTTTAAAGTTCTCAAATACCGGACGTCTTGAGCATAATAGCTGTTTAGATGATGTTGGAACGCACAAGGGTGAAGAGAAAACTAACTTTCTTGATTTTTAAAAAGTGTTTTTAAACCCATTTAATTATTCTTTTAATATCAGTTAAAAAAGAACAACAGAGAACTCGGTGGTTCTGTGAAGTTCTACTCTTTAGAAAAAGTACTAATCTTACCAAGTCTCTAACATATAGATTATTTGTATTACTATATGAATTACTTCTGTTTACTTAGATAGTTTAAATGTACTTTTAGTACAAACAGACATGTCAGAAAAGTGGTTTGACTTGTATTACAGCAGCTGAGCTCCACCTGCTGACTAGACTGCAACATTATCTGTTTACATCATCTTTTTGCCCATCTTCTAAACAGAGCAGGAACAAGGATACATAATGCATTCCGTAGCAATTTCTTTTTTTGTTTGTTTTTTTATATTTATTAAGGTAGGGTGCATGACCTGTTTTATTTTATCTGTATTTTTTTCTAGCCAGTATAAAACTACAAACAGAAAATACTTTTTGTGTATTGAGCATTTGGTGGTTCCAAATGGCACAACCTTTACTTGTTCTTACCTAAAAAGCCAGAATGTTAATTCAGACTGCTAACCCTAATCATTAAAGCTCCCTACAGGCAGAAAGTATACATCCACTAGAGACTTATCCAAAGTCCAAATAAAAATTCAGTAACTATTTTTAATACACACATATATACACATGCACACGTACGTATACACACATTACATATATTTAATATGCAAAGATTAAGTACCCTTAAGTTTTTACAGGTCCCATTTTAAGAAAGAATTCTCAAATTCTGCACACTGAAATTTCTATATCTTTACCTGTACGTCCCAAAAGGGGAAAGAAATTAAATTGACTGAACATCAGTATCAACATGTCTCAGTGTATTTAATGAACTAGCAATACACCAGGGTACAGTTTTAGAGTTTTCAGTTTCAACTGCGCAATTTGAGTTCAATGGATATATTTCATTACGACTTTTCCTACTCACTGGTATTTGTATCACCATATTTCTGTAATCTTGATTTTTCACTATTTGTTAATATTAGGAACTTTCCCAGAAAGATTTTTACAGCTTACCAGTTATGTACTTATTAGGGTTATTCCGGAATCGGTCATCAACTAAAATAAGAGCACCCCAGTCATTCCTATGTCTTATACACCTGTAAGTGAGCAACAAAAAAGAGTGTATATATAATTAGAGTACAAACAGTTAAAACTGTGGAGATCAGACTACAGGGATTGCAATGAGTCAGCTAAAACATGCAAAAATATACAGGAAGTGCTTTCCTACTGTCTTGCACCAAAAACGTTATGGATGTCATGGAAGCTTAATTTTCCTTCAGTTCTTGAATTACGAAAATGGGTAAATTTAAAAAAACGCACACAAATATTCAGCAGCTAATCAAACCACGTAATTTGTTTTCCACTCTTAACTGGGCAGCATAAACACTGAAAGGAGAACATGTCAAAGTGTAAAAGAAAAGAAAGTGGACTGATGCAACTGCAAGCAGTTTTTTAAATAACTATGCACTTTTTTGTTTCTAAACTGCATGTTATTCCTAACTCTTTAGTAACGAAATGAATAATGCTACAGATCAAAGCTGTGAGCGATACCGTTGAGTTCATAATTCAGTTGTTAGAGGCCTACAGAAATAATCCAATAGTCACTTTACATGTGTTGATATTATTTTTAACATTATTTGGATTTCTATACTGCCTGCCAGAAAAAAATTATTAAAGAACAGAGATAACATAAATGAAATATGGAAAAGAATCTGTCAGTAATAGTTTAGGATTATTATCCCCATTGTATAAGAGAAGGACAACTTTCGAAGATGATGTTTACAAATGTACATAAAACCACAAGTATATCAGCGTCAGGGCTTAAAATGGGAGCGACAAGGCTGGCTCTCCAAATAAATGTTATTTATTTACATTTGACGTCTCTCCATCATAAGAAAAGCTACCAAAACATCTTTAAGAAACAGATTTCTTCCAACTTCTCATTTTTGCATTGCTTTAATAAACGTTCTTTTAACTCATAGTTTAAATGACTTATGCCCACTGGAGACATATCCCACACTTTTAGGAAAAGTACCACTGCAAGGAATTCATAGCATGATTGTCACCTGGCCATACACACCATCTGTTATATTCCCAAAGGCTGCTATTTCATTTCATGGACTTGTGTTACTTCATATAACATAACAGCACTAAATTAAGAGAAAAGTGCCAAGTTGAAGACTACCATGCTTCTGCCTACTTCTATCCCTGCAGGCGTCTTTGCAGTAAGAAGCTTGCCTATCTACTATATAACTTAGTATCAACTTAGCAGACTGTTCTGGTTTTATAAAAATAGTCAACATACGCTGTCATCCTTCACCAAATCTCAGTTTAGTAAGAACTTAGTCTAATGGTATGATACACAATTTATACATTTATGTCAGAATGGAATTCTATTTTCTCCATTTAAGTTTAGACTAGCATAATTTCATTCAAATGATAAATGATAAAATAAGCAATTTTCACTAAAACGAGATTTAAGTTAAAATTTATTTCACAGTGACAAAACTTCAAATTCCTTTCTTACTATTAGCATTCCACAACTTTCTTAGATTTTTCTTAACTAATTTTAACTAATGCTCTCCAAAAATGAATCTAAGAAATCAGACCTGTAACAACAAGAATTTACAATGAGATTTTACTAACGTAGACTATTTTCTCTCAATTTTCTTTCTAAATCTTCATTTATGTCATCACATTTGTATTAGGTCTAATTCAAATAACAAGTCTTCCAGCTGATGTTTCTCTTCTTATCTATAAATCTGTGTCTGTACCTCTATATATCTGTGACAGATATATGGCATCTATGATAGATATGGATGACAGACAGCTATATCTATCTATGTACATGATAAATTTTGTTGGAGAAGGATGAATTAATTCTATCCTGTCAATAAAATTTTGGGGGATTTTTTTCATTTGAGAGAGTAAGCTATACCACTTCTTCTAAACCTGCAAAGAGATCAGTGAGCATAATTGAATTGACCTTTTGCAAAGGTCTGAGAAAAAAACCCATTATTTCTCCCTTTCAAAAATACTTGTAGGCTAATCATCAAACAACTGTTCTGAGCCCACCAAGAGTGTGAACAATTAATATATTTGAAAAGACCTAAGAATTTTCATTTGGTTTACAAGCTCAAGAACTATTTGTCTCCTCAAACGCTTTCCTTTCTGTATATCTGGACTACAAGCAATAAAACCTGCAACCAAACTAAAGTGGATTCTGAATGTAAAACAAAAACTCTGAATTATAACAACGCTCAAATGCACAACAGACTGAAAACCAGACAGTTGCCAGCACAGAACAGCTGAAGACCTGATTTCTGCAATATGAGTATTTTGGCCTGATTTATCCCCTTTGTGTTAACGTGAGGAATTAATTCTTAACGATGTTGCAAAAGAAGTTCTACATATATATATATTTTTAATTATGTTCAGTTTATCTCACCTTCCCAGAGCTTGGTTCAGAGCCCTATAAGCTTGAATTTCATACCACTGACTCCCTGGTAAAAGGCCTCTTGTATTTTTGTACTGGTCATTGTACTTCCTCTTTAATTCAACCTAAGAAAGAAATCATAAAATACTGGCTTTAATAATGACGTTGAAAAGGAAATATTATAAAAGGGGAAAACAAGCAAACACTGATTAAATAAGTGAATATGCAAAGTGTGCTTCAGTGTTTCAACTTTGTATTTTGTATACTAACCAACTATGGTTTTTACCCTTCTAAAGTTATTCTTAATGTGTGATCTATCCCAATAATTTATATGTAATAACACCACCACACACTTATCCAAATCGCTGTGCTAGCAAGAGAAGGATAAGCTGTTCACACAGGCAAAAAAAAAACCTAGATACAAGTAAATGGACTAACTAGACCACAGTTTTCTTTGCTCATCTGGAAGTAAATGGTACAATGGAGATCTTTATCGTTTCCTTTATAACAAACGCTGACTCCTAATCTACTGCTGGGACCAGACCATACTTTTCTCAAGTGAGGGTTAAGCAAATATAACCCCTTCTTCTACAGAAGCTAAGTAGTAGTACTAAGTACTACTAAAGTACTTCAGAGAGAGAGTGACCTCGCCAAAGTAGCAGAAGTCAGCAACACCAACTCTAATTCCTAGCTTGGCACCACCTTCTGCGGTTTGGAAACAAACGTTTCACTGGCTAAATGTGAAGCAAAGGCGGCAGCTAAGGTTTGCAGGCCCATGGGCTAGCATAAGGCAGAAAAGAGCAAGCTCCTCTTTTTTTTAAAAATGCTCTCTTCTAGCTGCTTCAAAAGCAGATCTGATATCAACTGCAAAAGAAATCCCCTGCCTCCCCTTTCTAATCATGTGGATAACTACACATACAATGCCCGATCTGAATTTGAACGAGAATTTGTATTTGGACATTACACACAGTTCCAACATATATCAAAATATTTTATTATTATTGGGGGGGACAGACTGAATTTTATTTTTATTAAATAAACAAACATAAAACTACACCAAAAACGGTCTTTCCATTGCTCTTTTGTACAGTATTAACCTTTCTAAACTGACAAGTGAAAGGACAACGCTTCAGGAGAGAAAACAGCAGACTTCTAACCTCTTCTGACAGGTAACTTTCAAGTTGCATTTGGATAAGGAATTTTATTTTATGTACTTATGCCCTTTAAATTGCCTGTCAAATTTACAAATTCAATCTTTACAGCCAGAAAGTAAATTCAGTTTGATTTCACAGATTTAATATTTGTTCCAGTCACTCAGCATTTATTGACTGGCATGTGAGGTTTCCTTTGTAATTTTCAAAACAGAAGATTATTTCTTCTGAACATTTTATGAACATTAAAACCGTTCCTTAAAAAGGAACTTAAGCATATCTGCATTTCTCCAAAAGGAGACACTACCTGGAGAAACAAAAGGCTACTCCTCACCATTTCAAATGAGGTATGATGTTGGAAAATTTCATTGAAGTCATTCGTTATGTTTTAAAGACAATATACTCCTATACATACTTTGCATTTGTCTTCTAGTCCTGGTAAGTTTTCTAACAATTTCCTCTTTTGAAGAATTTCTGTTATCAGTATGATTTTGGCCAATTGTAACAAACGTAGCTTTACCACAGTTTCTTACTTCATGAGCAGACTGTTCAAAACAGTATTAGAGTAACTAGTCATGGGTCTTACACTGATAAAAATTACGATGTTTTTAATTATGTGCATAAACCCACTGAAGTAACAGGAGAACGCAAACCAGTCAGATCATCTACATTGTATTGCATTACCCTGTGAATAAAATACATTACTTTTACATTCTTCTAATACATGTTAGCATTATGCAAATGTATGCTGCTTGTACTGCACATCAACGACATCTCATTTCTCAAATTATATAAAAATCCATATTCTCTTGGTCTAAACGTGTAATGTATCTTTAAAACCTCTTTTCTATCTTAATTAAAAAAGGGTTAACAGAAAATAAACATTCTGTTTTCTCACTTAAATAATCATGTCTCAGCATGAGATGACAACTTACATTGCTGAGAGTTCAGTTTTCATTATAAGTCTACTAAAGGTAAAAGGCCAGGGCATGTCATTTTAATGCAATCGGAATCTATTTCATTGTATAACTCTTACATTATCAAGCATCAAATCAACGCCCAATTCAAAATGACATGTTACATATGTGAAAAAGCCAGTCTCTCCTGCTAGCAAATATCCTAAATGTGCAGTAAACCACAGGCTAGAAGGGATTAGTTAAAATGTCAAAAGACAGCCTTTTACTTTTACCTGTTCATCCTTAAAAATATACTCTTAGCTATCAGGCATGCTTTACAGACAAATAGCTTCAGCAAGCAGCGGCAGAAGGCCCGTGGCAAGCTCTGCCATCTTGTAGCTGTCAGACAGATTAGTCTTTGATCTGTCTGGGAGGTCATGGTCACATTCACATTAACTGAAGTCTAACAACATTATACCTGCTAACCGCTCGTTCTTTTAATGCTTAATTAGTTCGACATCTTTCACTATGGAATATTAACTGAGAAACAGCAACAAAAAATAAATGCCATGAACAAATTTTTTTTTAATGACTTGGAAAAATATTTTGAGGCAGTTTCTGCTACAATTCAAAAGGATTTTCAAGCATATTTTTCAATCAAACTTAGCAATACAAGTTTGACAACGACAACAACAACAACATTAAACAACATTCATTATATTAGATTTTAAGTGTTTGATAAACCACAAAAAAAAAGTTACCTGTGGTAACATTGCTTCACATGAAGAAATTCAGACTTATTCAGGATTCAAGTGATGTATAAGTACATAAAGTGGATTTATACTGCAATGACCATGGACTATATCAGTTAGCTTATGGCACGAAGCTCAGAAGACTAGCTCAAAACTAGAGCTTGTTTTTGAACCCCAAAATAACCTGCAAATTCAGATACAGAAGCCTGCAGCACGCTTTTTTAGCAACATGCCAGGCTGAACCAAATTTATTCAAAATTAACAAAAACATGGCTATATTTAACAGCAAGGTATACAAATATCAATCTATTATGAACGATTTGTTTCTACAGAAAAATCAGTGGTTAGACAATAAAATTAAAGCACCGCTTTCTCCTTTAAATTGAGTTCTGTAAATATAAAGCTTCTCCTTGTTTTGCAGTCATAATTACAACTGAGATAAGGAAATGTGAAACAATTTCAGCTCATTTTACCTATCTTCAGCTAAAGGTCTGCACAGCATCCTACATGCTAATTTACCTGTTAAGAAGTTTTAAGGAGAAAGCATTTAACCTACAAAGAATAAAAACTACTGTGCTACACAATTAATTACTTTTTTAAAATTTTACTTCAGTAAAAACAAGCAGATGGTCCAACAGACACTCATCCAGACTCATTTTATCTCAGACAAAGAACAGGACCTTAGACCTCAAGAGCTAACAGCAAAGCGTAGCAGGACTGGAGAATGTGCATTTGGGGCAGTTACCACTCATAGTCAGAATACTGTAACCCGTACTTGTACAATATACCTGTAGAATACTGTATCAGTGCCAGTATCACAATATGAAGGTTGAACGGGCTAAGCCATAGTACATAATTTTTTATTTTGTGCGATTTAAATCAGCAAAATAAACTGTGTTTGGTTTTACTTCATCTGGCAAAGTTTCAAGATTTTTTTTAGATGCATTACTTTACTTAACCAAATGTAGTGCTGTACTTTGCTTTCTAAAGACAAACAAAAAAATCCCAAGATTTTTTTTAATACTAATAGTTAACAAGCCAGGCCTGTTCTTTGATAAGACATCACTTCACAAATATCTTCAACTGTCTCCTATTTTCTCTGGTAGATTAAAAATGACCTCCGGTTTGTAACCTGTGGGATTACAAACCAGATTACCCAGAAGTCTACAGACAAGACAGAAATTTGTGAATACAATGGCACTATTGTGAGCAGTTAAACAGAGCACTCATCTAAACCTGCATTTCTCTTTACATCAGCACTTAGCAGTGCTGTGACAGCCCAGGTTAAAGAAAGAGGCAACTGCTGAAAGGAAAAAGGCAAATAAACTTGGAATTGTGTCAACACATGCACACGTGTAGGTTGGTACATAAACACACACATGTGTAAACTCATGCCCTTCACTCCCCAACGCTCTCCTCCATGGAAATAAAAACCAGAAAACGGATATAAATGTTTTCTGGCATTCCACTGACTTGTTTCTCTGGTTTTATGAGAGGAAAAATAGTAATGAAAACAAAAACCGTTTTGCTCATATAATCCAAAAAAATTTAAAAGACACATTCATGTTTAACATTTACTAACCCCCCCCCTCCTAAAAACAAACAAGCAAAAAATACCAGGTGGTCATTCCCTGCTTCCATCCCCAAAAAAGACATAAAAATGGTTTTTAAGCAATTCTACCGTCCTAAAAATCTCATGTGTCCTGTTAGAGTCTCTCTTCCACCTGAAATAGCAATAATTAGAATTCTTCAAGAAAATACTTGCCATCTACTTTCCTTCTGACGAATGCCAAGCAATCATAAAAGTTTGTAAGTGCGGGAAAGTAAGAGACATGAAAACCTATTTCTTTTCTTTTACATCTGAAAATCCTTAAATAGAAGTAGCATTAAATAGTGCAGCATTTAACTTCCCCCCCTCACTTCAAAAGCAGTAACAACGTCTGTGAGATTTAAGACTAAATAATGCACGTGTAAAGACCTGGGTGAGTCATAGAATATGCTTCAAACATCCTCGCTCCTCGGTAGACCTACTAAAAGCTGTATCTAAACACAATGTCTCACTTTATTAGCCCACAGGAAAAAGATATTATGGCAGGACGTTATCTTTAAATGCTCAAAGCATTCCAAGTGCAGTGTTAGTACATATAAAACAGTATGAAATAAGCAGATGCTTATTACCTATAATTTATTGAGCTAGATTCTGTGTATGACAATAATTTAAGGCCATTCTAACCATCTCATATACCTAAAGATGGTCACCAGACAAACATGACACACTCTTCTGCTTTCACACAGAAATACTGCATTTCTTTAAAAAACAACAACA